GGTAATCACTTCGCCTTCGGAGAATAATTGTTAACTATACATATATAAAAGTCATTTTAACATTATAATAGTAGACAGTAAATAAAATCCACTTTAGTCTATGGAAATCCACGACGACCTTCATCTTTAACGCTTTGATAGGACACTTCAGGCGAACTAGCATGCAGCTTAACTGAACCTGACAATCTCACATATAGTACATCCAAAGTATTTCTCCCATTAACTTTGCCCAAAACATTAATGTATCGTGATTCATGTATAAATCAGCATCAACAAAGTCACAGAATAAGGAGATCAGAAGGACCACTCGGGGTGGGCGCCTTTGATGTTTGTGTACCCGCGCGTGCATGTCGCCACGCGCATCTCGGCCGCCATCTTCCTAGCCAGTCGATTCTCATAACATTATGGCGATATAGTAAGGAGAACAGCAAGTATGGAAACATTTCAGGTTTGTTCTCTTTATTGCTTTCATTGATTAACACGTTTTAAGCCCGTATTTCTAAATTTTATTTTGCGACATTCAGGACCGCATCGTACATCATAGTTGGGTCATTGTGTGATCGAAGAGTGCCGTTTAAGCTATAATTTTGCAAGAAATATATATCTGAGGTTCCTTTTAGCTATCAAAAATGTTTTTACGTACCTTGTTATTGATACTTTTAAAGTTACAATGCAAACCAGGCAATTAGAATTTTAGAAATTGAACTAGTTTTCTTGTCTTTACATCGCATTTTATAATATTGTTTTATATACGACTGACTACAATCGACTGGCTAGGAAGATGGCGGACCTCGAGCATGCGCACAAAAAATTGGTGACATGTTGCATCCCCGAGTGGCCCTTCTGGTCTCTTTATTCTGTGACAAACTTTTGCACATTTTTGCTGACCTCAGTAATAAGCGCAGACCTCCTACTTAATGTCAATCATATGTTCCCATGGGACCATAATTCTCCATGCAACCAGAAATCTTCGTTCGTGGGCGAACGAAGTCTCCGAAAATTTAAAACCATGCCGACAGGCGTTTGTTATTACTAGACCCTGTTCGCAGGCTTAGCAGCTGGATGCCGAACCTGCAGAGCTGATGTCAAGTCACGATACAGAATAATGTTACCCAGGCTGTGACGACACGCCTATCCGACGATGGATATGCATATTCAAGATGGCGGAATGGATACTGCATGATTTTGTTCGAAATGAAGTGTAATGGCTTTAACGAATCACAGTCAACCGTGATGCTTCGCCGCTATGTGAATGTTTATATATACGGGGAGCTAAAAATTGTGTTGTCTTCGAAAATAGTCGTACACTAAAAATGATATGCATTAGCCATTAGCTTTATTATTATAGACAAATAACTTTATTACATTCACCCCTTACCCCCTGCTGATTCCTGCCCCATCGCCTACTACATTCACGCAGTTCGTCCATGCTTTGATGGAGCTGGATTTCGGTGAACTCGCTATGCGAAAGCCACCGAATTCCCAGGCTTTCTTTCCTTTCCGTCCAAAGGACGGTTGCTCAAGTATTGTTGGACTTGTCAACGATATTCTTTTTGATATCACCTCACTCCCACGAACGGAAAATACAGAAGCCATGATTAGCCATCAATTTTATAAAATGAGAAAACTTTCTAAAATCATTGGTTAAGTTAAAAACACACGCCAAAATCTCAATCAATGATCTATTAACATATTCTAACTGTAAAAATATGACATCGTCCAAGAATAATGCAGATTGATAAGGATATAGATCTTTGGATGTCAATCTCTCGTCACTAAAATGGCTAATAAAATGGCAGAATACAAAACAATCAAAACATTTTAGCGCGCAAACCATCACGGTTGCCCGTGATTCTTTAATACCAAGAAGGGAATAGAAAATCTGTAAAAAGGTTTTGAAATGTATTGAATCCCTCTTCCAAATGAAAGGAATTTAATTTTTATTACTCCTTCCAAAGTTAAGAAATATACCTTAACAGCATTTGAACAGGTTATTTTGATATATTTTGTTTGGAAACTTTGCATTTTTTCACAAAAAAAGAGCTCGAAATAATTGGATTTTTCTTTTTCGCCATTTCTACTTTTTTGTTTCCATGATAGATTTCATTTTGTGTCCGACGCATTATGCGTTGTTTATGGTTTCGGACATTTTTGGGGCTTATCGATTATATTTTTTGCAGTTGTCGTTTCGGCGTATCTGAATGAACAATATAAATGTCATGGTACATTATACAAAAGTCGTTTCCGTGGTGACGAAATTTGTTTCATCAAAGTGTTGAATATTGACTGGAATAGTCTGAAAGGTTATATCCAAGATTGTAGTTCAAACCGAGCAATTCTTGAATAAAGTTTAATCAGCTTCCTGCAGAAAAATCAGTGAATGAAAGTTCATTTAGATCTCTAGATAAGCATTTATACTGAAAACAGAGAAGAATGCTGGGGTGCCATCTTGAGAAATATATGAGTTTACGACGTATGTCCACAGTTCAACAAAGTTGAATTTACATTGGCATTGTTCATGTGGGGGGGGGGGGGGGGGGGGAGTGAATAGGTTTTCGGATCGTCGGATTTCACAGAAAAATTGTTCGGATTTCGGATCTGGTGAATATTTTACCCGGATTTGCGGATCTTATTAATACAGCGGAGTGCGGATTTATCAAATATTTTGGCTCGGATTGTGGATTTAGCTTGCAATTTAGTTTGGGTCCTGGATTGTGACTTCATAGTAGAGCTTTTAGCGGATTCAAATTTAGACAAGACCACTGTCGGATCGCGGATTTTGCTTCAAATTTGGGCGGATCGTCCGATTTGTATACCACTATTCACCTCCCCCCTGAATTTCTCGCCATGTTTTTACTTGTTTGAAAAATTAAAATATTGCCCGAAAGAAAACTCTAGACTGAACGTCAAAAATCACAAAATTCAGAAAACATAACAAAAGAACAAAAATAAAGACTTCATACACTAAAAATTGCCATCATTGTGCATATTTTAGCTATAATGATCAATGATGAAAAATACATATATGTTATTTACCGGCTGCGAGGTCCGTACTGAAAAAATATTTTCCCGATGTCTCAGAAGCGGTCCGAGGCCGAAGGCCGAGGGACGCTTGTGAGACCGAGGGAAAATATTTTTTGGTACGGACCGACCTAAACGGTAAATAACGTGTTTATTTTTTATTTGATAGTTGATGATTATAATGATTCCGATAAAAGTCCAGTTGCGAAGTACATTTGAGATCAGTTGCGTTTGTTACTTTAGTCAGTTTACCTGAGTTTAGTGCAAGCGTGGCTGACAAACTGCTAAAACGACGCGATAAAAGCTGGATAAAAAGCTTTTAGTTTCATTGCAGTAGATGATTTTCTGCTCATGATCAACAAAGACAACAGAAGGTAAACTAAACTAAACTAAACTAAACTAAACTAAACTAAACTAAACTAAACTAAATAAAATTATTTATTTTCCGGATCGTTTTACAGCATGGACATGTTAGAAAAATGCTTTTTGACGGACAACTACAAGTTTTAGCTGCCGAAAAACAATTTTGACCGAATTAAGCCCAGGAATCATCCATAAGGCTGCCATTTATGTCATTTTTTTAAAAAGTTATGTTTAAGGACAAGTTGTACGTTATAGTATTTATATTTATACGTATATTTCGAAGAATGGCTGAATAAATGTGGACTTTTGAGTCAAAACATGTAGCACTTACATTTGTTTTTTTCTCATTTTGGTCGCAGAAAAGTACATTTCGGACTTGGCTTGGGTAGTGTTTTGAGTTTGAAAATTGTTTTCGCTCCTCGTATTCTAGCTAAAAAATAACTCTTTTGTTTTGAGTTTTTGACCACGGTCAAGATATCGTAAAAAGCTGCCCGCTCCTGCAGCCAATTAGATTTCAGGAGATCAAAAAATATCACTAGGCATGCACAAATAAAAAAATAAATGTATTTATTGTAGGTAGAAATATCCTATAGTGAATGAGACAAAATCTCGCAAGCAGAAAATTCTACCTGTCGTGTTTGGGTTTTCGAACCCGCGAAATTTTCTGCTTGCGCGGTTTTGATTTACCGAGTAAACAATATAACAACATTGTGTAAATATTACACTATGTATTTAGTTAAATTAGCTTCATAATTTGCAGCTAAACCAAATTATGCAAATACAGAATCTCTATCATCTCTATAGAAAGAAGCCAAAATGATAAATGGGCTAGTATCCGTCACAAATAGAATTATTTATTTGTCTATAATCTATATGTATGCATTTATCTATTAATAATATAAGGAATATCATATCCGTGGTATTGTGAAAGACAACTTTGTAATTTCTCGAATTCCACAGGTTTGGCATAAGTACGTATGCCTTCATTACTTGCCTGAACTATTCAAGATTTCCTTGAACTATTCAATATTCAACTACTCCAAATTCCACAATTTGTCCGAATTTGGTCCGAATACATTCCGTTTATTCTTCGTATACTGAGTTTCCTTTGTAAGAAATGTTTCCACGCTAAAGCAAAAGTCCTTCGTATCCCTGTTCAGTAGATTAGGAGGAGTGCTCGCCCTCTCGGGATTTACAACAAGTGCTACCGCCATTCCGTCATTGAGATGCCAATCAACATGACAGTGCATGAACCAGTACCCTGGATTATCTTGGAAGAAATGAAGTACTACATATCCACCAGCGGGTACCATCACAGTATCTTTGCGAACTGTAGTACTGGTCACAGAAATCCCCCCGGGTATGCCATTTGTTCATTTTGCAGGCGCACATGCAGACCCCTTTAGATCATTGTTTCGCTTCATCATCGTTCCATTCTCGTAGTATTCAGGATATTGAATTTTAGCGATAAAATATGTATGCCCGTGAATGTGGATTGGATGCGTAATATTGCGACCACATGCCAGTCCATGGTTCATTACCGAGAGCACAAATCTTGTAGCGGTATTGAACTTTGTTAAATGAACTGTGTGCGGGCAATGTTTTCTTCCAGGATCTCAACAATTTACCGGATACTTGCATTCATTTGCTGCATCTTCATTTTCAAGGATAGGGACTGCAGGCAGCCTGAACCTAATACCATTAATAAGTGATGCTCTTGGCTTCGCTCCTTCAAAGTTGAAGAAAAATTCGCTTGCAAAATCAGCTGATTTTGGAATTTCAAAACTTGGTGTGGGATACAGCAACTTAAGGGATAATATATCATAGCATTTCATATATGTATCAGGTTTTGAATAATTTTTTGGCATTATTTTAAAAGGACAGTTCATTATCGTGCATGGCTTGGATTTATTATTACATCTATCATTCTGAACTATCAAATTTTCTGAAGTTGGTGATGTCATTTTGATAGATTGATTTGTGTACGCCAGGAAGACGAAACCTTGTCCGGCTAGTTCGCTATTATTCTTGCAATTAACAGCGAGCGACTGGATTCTAATTGGGTATTTAGAACCTGGCAGGATGTCTTTCTTCGCTTTCAAAATGAAATCGTATGTTTCACCAACGTGCACAATAAGAAAATCAGTTTCAAATGGTTTTACTAAAGATCCGTCTGTCGCTATAATATACAACTTATGGTAATCTATGGAAATCACAAAAATAGTTCCCAACGCCCCATCTATGATTCTAAAACGATAGTTTCTTCCACTAACCACGTAAAATTGTGTATGTGATTCATTACCTGCGCTTTCTAGCGGGCTTGTAGCAGGATCTTTACCATAAATTAATAACGTGAACCGTCTAAAATGCATTGGCAAGCTTGATCCATCTGGCAAACAAAATGATTGAACTGCCTTCCTAGATTTCTTTTTACTCGGATCTTGATCGACAATGATCAATGTTTTTCTCTCTGGTCGATCTTCAAATGGCCCCAGCTTCTCACGAATATCGCTCTGTGCTTCGTGTACAATCAACGCACCAAACAAGCCCTTAGATCTTTGGTATCGCATATGAGCATGGTACCAATGTGTGCCCTGAGGGTTTGCACGGAAAATAGATCTATATGGAAGATTAAAACATGATTTATTAACCGGTCGGGCAACGTTGATAAGTAATTATTACATTAAATATAAAGGTTGATAAGTAATAATTACATTAAATATATTGTATTGAATTACATTGCAATTCTGCTCTACTCGATCAACTTTACTTCAGTTCACCTTGTTTTAACATCTAATTTTATTTTACTTTGTTTTACTTTCGCCAAGTCTGTTTTATTTTACTTTGTTTTCTTTACTTTGCTGTATATCATTCCATTTCATTCCATTTCATTCCATTTCATTCCATTTCATTCCATTTCATTCCATTTCATTCCATTTCATTCCATTTCATTCCATTTCATTCTATTTCATTCCATTTCATTCCATTTCATTCCATTTCATTCCATTTCATTCCATTTCATTCCATTTCATTCCATTTCATTCCATTTCATTCCATATCATGCCATATCATTCCATTTCATGCCATTTCATGCCATTTCATGCCATCCCATTCCACCCCGTTCCACCCCATCCCAGTCCATCTCATTCCATTTCATTCCATTTCATTCCATTTCATTTCATTTCATTCCATTTCATTCCATTTCTTTTCATTCCATTTCATTTCATTTCATTCCATTCTATTTCCTTCCATTCCATCCCATTCCATCCCATTCCATCCCATTCCATCCCATTCCATATCATTCCGTTCCGTTTCCTTCCGTTGCGTTGCTTTCCGTTCCATTTCATCATAGACAATCCAGAAGACAGGGACTGGAAACGCAAGCGAAAGCGCCTATGATGCTACGTGCCATCCGTGATTTGGCTTTAAGCACGTCAATACATGGGGTTGCCGTGTAACGGTGGTCTTTTTTCGGAAAAAATACGATGAGAATCCTCCGTTATTTTTGTTTATTTTGTGGATAAAAGGTCATTGAAATACTGTATTTTTAGTTTACCGTTAAGACACGGTTATTGTCAAGGTAAGTACGCTTTCATTTTTAATTTTAATTCCATATAGAGGTCATTCAATTACAGTTTTGTCGAAGCATGTAATAAAAAATGTCGCACGTAAATTAGGTAGTTGCTGGGGACACCATAACTCGAGAATGAAGCTGCAAATTGCCATTTGAAACATGCCATTATCATCTAAAATGAATCGAGGGTGCATTAGCCGGCGTGCAGGCCCAAGGGAGCAGGCTGAAGGGAACTTGATAGTGGGCCTGCAAGCAAGGCCCGGTATTTTGTACTTTCCGCGTTCGCCCACGAACGCGGCATTCTGATTGGCTGTTTGCTGTTGAATTCTATAATTAGGTCAGTGATTCATCTATACAAAGGCTCTCGATAAGCTTAAAATTCGAAAATTGATCACTTTTTTCGATTACAAATGAACAAGAACAGACTGTTTATTGTTTACTTGAAGGAAGAAATGTTTTTGCCGTTATGCCAATGAAGATTGCTTGTCGTGAGGTGTTGGAATAGCAACATTTATTACGAATGGGGTAAAACTATAGTAACCTTTACTTGAGTTTCATTAATTTCAAACAGACTTGATACGTTATATGTTCCTCAAGAAAATTATCTTTTGGTTGATGTTGAGATGCAGTTGCGTGTGATGTAAGCCTATTCAAAATACTTTGCGATGTACAAGGCTTCGCTGAGAGAGCAAAAGATAAGACGGTATTAAATTGCCGTTTGAAACGAAACGATCTGGACTCTGAACGCTCTCTTCTTTTGTAGAGTTCTCACCAAATGAAATAACTGAAATAAATTTCGTACTTTCCGCCGCCAACAAGAATTGCACACACGATTGGATCTGATAAGTGAGACAATTTATTTATAACAATGGCGACAGCGAAGCAACATTATAAATGCTGATGTGGTCGCACGACTTCCCTCACGATTTGAAGTTTGAGACTGGTTTTCTGTTGAAATTCGTCTTAATTTGCCTGTTCCGATTTTAGTTGAAAATGAGCACTTGTAAATTTGGCAATTACTGACTGCGTTGCTTGTTTTTTTGGAGTTTTAACACAGGCATTTAATACACATTGTTTCTATTTTGAATATTAAAGCAGAGAAAACCCCGCAACATTTTAATGCGAGTTTGTTCGTTAATATTTGGGTTGCTGTCATTGGTTCTTTTTTGACAATTGACGCGCGAATAGGGCGTGTTATGAAAAGGGGCGTTTTACAAAAATACCGGGCCTTGCTTGCAGGCCCACTATCAGTTCCCTTGGGCCTGCACGCGGGCTAGGGTGCATTAGAGTAGTTGCAACTACGCGTGATTTGTGGGTCCAGCATAAACAAGCTTTTTTCACAGTAACTACAAAATTGATGGTTACGTCTACACCCTCAATTTGTAACATGTAACTATAATTTTAGCAAATTACAAGACATTTTATGTAGATGGTTTAAAGGAAAATAATACGGGCTGTGCATTTATCGCTTTTTCCAACTTTTCTTTGTTAATGAAGCTTAAAATCACCATTAACTTCGTGCGTAGTATTTTTGACTAAACGATGTCGCCATTGTTGTTCTCGTAGTATGTGCCTGTAGTTGGAACCCTATAATTTAGAAGTTAAACGAAACTTACCTGGAAGTTGAAGTTTGACTGAATTCTATCCCATAAGATTAGTAACCAAGGACTGACATGAAGAACGAACGCAGGCTCACCGGGAGTGACATCACATCATTGTTTGAAAGCAACGTACAGTGACCAAACATAAACAGAACAAACAAAGCAGTATCACCAGACTGACAACCCAGTAGGAGTGGGTGGGTGGGTTTGTCAGTCCTTGGTTACTAATCTTATGGGATAGAATTCCAGTCAAACTTCAACTTAATTCCAGGTAATTTTCGTTTAACTTCTAAATTCTATCCCATAAATCATAACCTACTGACTGACATGAAGTCTTCAAAGCATGCGAGATCGCTGCGAGTATAAAATATCGACAATACAAACTTATGCAAATAAGTTTAATCTGAATGTTTAGAAATAAATAAATAATTTAATTGTCTTTATACACACTATCTTAAACACAACACTCTAATATATATTACGTACGATAAGTGTAATATCTACTCAATAACCCCTCTGTAATAGAACCGCCTAAATGTGGTAGCATTACTCCAACCTGCTCTTTTCAGAATTTCATCTACTGGAAAATCTGCTGTATAGGCTGCTGTTGCAGCCGCGTGTCGTGTAGAATGTGGTTTAAATAAAGTAATCTCAATACCAGCACCGGCTAAGACAATTTTTATCAATCGAGCTAAAGTTTGAGATCCAACAGCACGATGCGGTTTTATGGTTGCAACGAGTAAATTGTTACTTTGTCGTAGATGTTTTGTCTTCTCAAGATACTCTTCTAAACACAAATATGGGCAAACATCAAGATCCAAAGTGTATCTAGGAACAATAACAGGTGGAACTGAATAATTTGGTGTGCTTTGTTTGATGTGCTTATCCAGAACAAACACAAACTGAACATCTGATTGTATCATGCAGCCAGTGTTAATATTGAGGTGTATTAAAGTTTGCTTCCGCGCGCTGAATAGTCACCAAAGCCAATAACATTGTTAATTTGTGACTAAACTCTTTAAGGTGGGGACTTAAACCACTGTTAGGGGTGTATTAAAGTTTGCTTCCGCGCGCTGAATAGTCACCAAAGCCAATAACATTGTTAATTTGTGACTAAACTCTTTAAGACTTAAACCACTGTTAGGGGTGAACGTTCTCAGATAAGCCTAAACTGTTTGGACATCCCAGATAGCATAATGCTTATTAGCAGGTGGTTTCCGTTCAAAGGCTCCTTTTAGGAAACGACAAACTATTGGGTGTTTCCCACTGGGAAGTTACCAATAGAAATAAAACATGATAACGCTGATCTGGCACTGTTAATACTAGAATATGATAAATGCAGTTGTATGTACAAGAATTTCAAAACGTGATTTAAAGTAAGGGAATCTGCAAGAATTTCCCTTTCACGACAGAATAAATTCCATTTGTTTTTCGTAATGTTGCCGGACAATGGACAGGCCATCAACTTCAGTTTGTCTTGCATGCTGTGGACCTTGCCTAATGGGTGTCTCAATAACTCCACTTGAGGGGTCCAAAACAACAACTTGGGTTTCTGAGTAAACATCTTCTAGCTGTAGAAGAAGAGGGTACCATGTTTGTGTGGGCCATGCAGGTACCAGTAAAACCCCTTCGGCTTGGTCTCGAGAGATTTTCTACAGACATTTCGGAATGAGACTAAAAGGAGGGAAAGCATAAAATTATTCATTCGCCCATGATACACTAAAAGCATCCACTATTGCAGCATGTGGATCCGGGTGCCAAGAGGCATACCGTTCTACCTGTCTGTTCAACAAAGATGCAAACAGATCAATACTAAACTTAGGGATTTTTTTTTTGAAGAGTTTGTGAAAAATATCCGTATTAAGCTGCCATTCATGATCTGACAGATGTGTTCTAGAAAGGAAATCAGCAACTACATTGCTGGGTCCTGGAATATAATTAGCAGTGACCCATATATTGTGGGAAATGCACCACGCCCAAATCTTTCTGGCTACTGTATCACAAGCAGAAGATCTACATCCCCCCCTCCCCCATGTGATTGATATAACTAACGGCAGTCATATTGTCTAACTCGAATTTAATGTGGACTTCAGACTTGTCCGTACAAAATATTGTTAAACATATAAAAACAACATACAGTTCCCTTACATTAATATGTAGGGTACACTGTTCACTTGTCCACAAACCCTGAGACTGTAACTGAGGATTAGTAGTACACGCTACGCCCCAGCCAAGATCACTGGCATCAGTCTGAAAGATATAGGAGATGACGTGATGACGCAGTCGCCTAGATGCATGCATTACATGGGTAGTCCACCACTGAAGCTCCTGCTTTGCTGTCTCAGAAAGGCGCGGAAGTGCCCGATAATTTCCATTATTCCGTGCAAGGGCGTTAATTTTATCGCGTTCAAGATTGCGATAGTGTAACCGACCAAACTCAACCCCGGGGAGGGCAGAGATAAGTGTACCAATAACACTAGCTACGAACTAAATTGTAAGTGTGTTGCCACGCAAAGCCTGTAAACAGAGATCTCTCAATTTTACCTTTTTCTCTAGCCTAGGGGAAGTTTTACTATCATTAACAGACTATTTATTAAGAACCCCAAAATTAAGAGCGCATTTGTCAGGGTGTACATATAACCCGAGACTAATAAAAAGGCTGACACTATCCGATACATTAACTGCGCAATCCGAAAATTCCTGACCTTGAAAATAAAAGTCATCAATAAAACCACGGTTGATGTGTTCTTTTTGTCGAAGAGTAGCCAAAACTGGCTTCATGACTTTGGTGAAAATTCTGGGAGAACTAGTTAACCCCATGGGCAGTACACAAAACTCATACAGTTGTTCATTCCAAACAAATTTGAGAAATTTCCGTTGTTCCTCTGCAATAGGAATAGTGTAATACGCATGCTTTAAATCAATAGAAGCCATATATAGGCTCCCGGAGTAACAAGACTAAGAATTGTAGCAAGAGTATCCATTTTGAAATGTCTGTAAAGAATAGCCTGATTACTGCGCTTAAAATTAAAAATCAATCGATATGAACCATCCAGTTTAGGTACTACAAATATTGGAGATATACATTCTCCCGCAGTATGCATCGAGTTAGATACGACTCCAAGCTGCAGTAGTTTATCTACTTCCTTACTAACTAGAAATACATGTATGTAGTAACCCCTCGCCAATATTTCCATACATTAAACATGAAGTATTCAGAAATAACCAGCACTGAACGCAGGCTCGCGCTCAAGTGTTGCCATGACAACACGATATTCTTCAAATTTTCATATATTTTGTACAAAACTGCAAAATAGTTGAAAGATTTGTACTTTTAACTATACAACAATAAATTTCCGAAATATATACTGTAGGTATATTATTTTACATTTTGTGAGCTTTGATTTAATGTAAAATTTAACTTGAAACGCTTCGTAAAATGTTTTGAAATGTTCATTCAAGTAAACTACATTTTGCCGATAAACTGTTTTTACTTAACAAAACATGATAAGTTTAATACAAATAAAATAAATTGTTAGGTAATTTCAGTTCAGTCTTCAAATCAATTTGTTCGCCTTTACATTTTAAGATTTTTTCTCAAATTAAACGGTAATTTATGAAACTTAGAGCTTCTATAGACAATAGTTCATGTTTTTTATTACGTAAAAAGTTAAAGCAACAAAATTCGTAAACGTTTTAAAAATATTCAAAGAAAACTTGCCGTATATTTCACGACTTCTTGTAGTAAACCAATTCTTCTCATTTTTCAAACAACATTGCTTCAAGCTTGTTGTATATGAAATTGAAATCTTGCTTGCCATATTTTTGAGATAAGTGAGGATGACCACCCACTCAAGATCGTCGCTCGTTGGTCAGCGCCCGCGATGATTGATGAACTTTAGACTCGCTAATGCTTTCGTTTCCCCGGATGTAAATAGCCGGGGGGAATTAGTACCCTCGCACGGCGCTTCGCGCCGTCGGCTCGGGGATAATATCATGTTGGTGGACATTAAAATGCTGATGCCCTGGAATGCTATATTTAGAAGGGTCATCAATGAACTCTATGTGACAATGCTCTACGATCTATTTAGAAACGCAATTCTTAGTATTACCGGCCCTAAAAACTGGCTGCTCAGAAAAAAGTGTTTAACGTTAGATAATAAGTCAACATACCAGTTGCGAGTGGGCTTTTCGTTGCTTGCCTTTCGCACGTACTGCCTACTGGGGCACATTCTGAAAATTCTGGCGGTGATGAAAACCAGAACTAGACTGAGAACCATGGCCGCGCTGGCTTCTACCACGCATTGAGGGTGAAATCTCGGACCTCGTCCACAAAAACTGGTCAAGTCTTTACACACGTTGTGTTTGCTGAACTCGACCATCTCTTTAACGCGCTTAGCAGTGTCGCCCTATACAAGTCCAGCTGACGAATTTCTTTTTGTACAAAGCCCCTTGGTAAATTCCGCTTTAAATTGAGGTCTGATGGCATCCCGTCGTCGTTGATTGAGCTCATAATTAGCAGTCATTGCCAGCATGATGCCATCTAAACAACTGTTTAGAACATCTTTGGACACATTAGCCGACAGCAAGGAATCAGTTGCTTCAAGCTGGAAATTAATAGAACCTAACAAAGCAGCTTGTGTTGACTGACATTTAATGTCTGTAACGCGTGCCTTGCCGGGAATTTCATTCCAAATTCTCGTTTCACATTTAGGCAGGCGTATATTGAACATTTTCGGGCGTATTATGACGTTTGGCTATCGCTTTAGCTTGATCTTGGCTTACTCTTTGCAGCCGCAATTTATTAACCAAACCGCCAATTTTCTCAGTAATTGCTTGCCCGTTCACACCGATCGTGAAGATCTAATTGTTGTTCATATTGCAAAACTGCAGCTTCATTTGCATTATCCATTAGTGATGTCGGCACTAACACGGTCAACTTATCCGCCTGATTGAATCATAGTTAATATACTATGGTTGAATTAAACTATCAATGTCCGCCTGAATATCGACATTTTCAGGATTCTCAACATGGGTCGTCAATTGGCTGAGAATCTATGCCAACATCATCTTCCTGATATTGCTCAGTAAAGCTTGTAAAACTTTTCGTTTAAGCGATTCAAACTCATTAAATCGCGCGGTGCACGTTCACTGCACTTTGATCAAAACGTTCATCAATAGTGCTATCTAAGTCAAGATCGCTCACTGGCGGATCTATAGGCCTTGAACTTTGCTCAGCACATATGCTCACACTGAAGACACTGGCCTTCGACATGGTATAGGAGAGAAACGTAAAAAAACTACATTACTATAGTATATTTTAAAAGACACACCTATATTTCGCAATCATGTCCATATATAATGAATGCCGTACAAGGTCATTACAGGTAAAAATAAGCGGAATTCGTACAGAACACGCTGCAGCTACACTGATCAGTATTTCATTCAAACTTATACCTACCTACCTAACTCTCGAAAAGCCAAAACTCATACCAAACTTGAACTGGAACTCCAAAATCGACGTCTACTCCCAACGGTTGATCCTTGTTCAATGATGTGATGTCACTCCCGATGAGCCTGCGTTCGTTCTTCATATCAGTCCGTAGGTTACGACTTATGGGATAGAACTTCACTTTAAGCGATTTTCAAAGCATCATTTTTATATATTTTGAACCAGAAAACAATGGGCTGTGCATTTGTTGCTTTTTCAATGTTCCGTTTGCTTTAATAAAGCTGAAAATCACCATTAACTTCGTGCGTAGTATTTTTGACTAAAAAATGGCGCCATTGTTGTTCTTGTAATGTGCGCATAGTAGGAACCCTATAGGCCTATAAGTTCACTTTAAGCGATTTTCAAAGCATTTTTTTATATATTTTGACCAGAAAACAATGGGCTGTGCATTTGTTGCTTTTTCAATGTTCCGTTTGCTTTAATAAAGCTGAAAATCACCATTAACTTCGTGCGTAGTATTTTTGACTAAAAAATGGCGCCATTGTTGTTCTTGTAATGTGCGCATAGTAGGAACCCTATAGGCCTATAAGTTCACTTTAAGCGATTTTCAAAGCATTTTTTTATATATTTTGACCAGAAAACAATGGGCTGTGCATTTGTTGCTTTTTCAATGTTCCGTTTGCTTTAATAAAGCTGAAAATCACCATTAACTTCGTGCGTAGTATTTTTGACTAAAAAATGGCGCCATTGTTGTTCTTGTAATGTGCGCATAGTAGGAACCCTATAGGCCTATAAGTTCACTTTAAGCGATTTTCAAAGCATTTTTTTATATATTTTGACCAGAAAACAATGGGCTGTGCATTTGTTGCTTTTTCAATGTTCCGTTTGCTTTAATAAAGCTGAAAATCACCATTAACTTCGTGCGTAGTATTTTTG